CTCTTAATGACTGTGTATCAATTCCCTTTGCAATCAACACAAGCTGTGACAAGAAAAAGAACAGAGCCTCATCCAGTCACTTGACAGCTCCCAACATTTTCTATCTTTCACTGGGGTGAAATCAAACTTGTTTCATTTTGGATAATCAATATGGTACTGAATTTCTAGTCAGGTAAACAACAGTATTTTCCTACAGGTAAAAATAAGCCTAAAAATACCACCACCACTCAACCCTGTCTCCCCTTGGCATGTAAAAGAGCATCACAATTTGCTGTATTTCTAGGGGAATACAGATTTCCTGAAAAGCAAATCTTGTAAGAAAAGTCAGATGTCATGTTATTATAATGAACTTCCCATAAATCCAAAACCCTGTAAATAAAAAATTACTTCAATATAGTATCAATTGTTAATACAATATCTACATAAGTCCATGTTAATATACTTAGTTCAGACAAGTACATTATAAAATGCAGATGAAAGGGGCACTTCAAAGGCAGGAATGGGTCAGATAAATAAAGACAGTACGATCATATGATTTCAGTACACCCTCCAAAAATGATCAGCAAATATAGATGGTGAAGAGACTTTGAGCCTCTGAGCTGTGGTTTTTTCTAATGAGGTTAAATTCACCTCCTCATGTAACAACACACAGTATTGCATTGGTATCCAGTAACACATTAGGATTAATATTACTACACAGTACATATGTAATTATCAGAAAGAACAGGAATGGACTTTACTGTTGTACATTCCAGTGATTTTAACTGCATCAATCTTGAGACACTATCTGTGCCAATTTATCCACTCTGGCTCCTTATAAAACAATGAGTTACCTGCCTGTGCACTACTGACTCAGAAAATTGTCTGCTCTCTCTCAAGTCTCCATTTAATCCCATAGATTCTCAGCTAGCACATCTGGCTTATATCCTGCTCCAAGGCTAAGCTGACCCTATGACTACTGAGTTGAATTGTTAAGAAAGAAATGCAACACAACCTTGTTTTTTAACATGGTTTATTTCAGTGATCTTATGCACACAGTCTCCATACGTGATATTTTTTTCAGAACTGAGTGGGTTGTGAACTGCAGCATGGCGTAGGAAAGAGCAGCCAAAAACTTCTGAAGTCAGTTCTGCTGCTGAAGGAACTGTAACAAAAGATGCTCACAGGGAGAAGAGGCAGAAGCAATTTAAGTCATGGCTAAGAGAAACACCCTTCTAAAAGAAGTTCTTTAAAACAGGAGTTGAAAAGTTCACAAAACTTCCAATTATTTGAAGCCTTAGAAAAGTTTCTCAACACCCTCAGCTGAGACATTTTGTCACAGTCTGAGGCATGGTCTTTTGAAGGACAATGCCAACATTAGTTTTCAGGGTTTCTTTCTTTGTCCTCTGACCCTTCAGAAGCTGGCCTTGGCCAAAAGGTCAGTCTCACGGGGTGGGGGAATCTGAGAAGCTTGGACTCTATTGCTTTACAATACACCTGGTGTAGAAGGCTCATTTCTCATCCACTATAAATAAATTCAGAATTATTAAGAGACACACCATTAACTTGAAATTTTATGTAGCAGCTGGGGAATCTGCTGAGGATATACTCACCAGTTGAGGTCTATTTTATGACCTCAGATGTAACTCAAACCATCAGCTCATATTGGCTCGGCCCTTCGCTGACAGGGACCGTGTCACGTATCCCGCAGGGCGGCTGGAAGCCACCAGCGGACAATGGGGCGAGCGGCTGACACCGGCCAGCGGGGCCCAGGCAGAACAATGCAGCTGCTGCGGAGGTTGGCCCTGCCGAAGGAAACTCGTTTCTCCCAGGTTGTCTGAGGGGAGGGACGCTGAAGCAATGGAAATTCCCCAGCAGTAAAGGAGAACAAAAGAAGAGGTGTTAGAAGCTGCTGTTGAGAAGAGACGGCTTCTTCCAGGGCCTGACAGAGGAGAGATTCCCTCAGCTGACAGAAACACACTCTGTTCTGCAGGATGCGATCCTCCAGGAAGTGTAGATCAAAAACTACTCTGTTACAGAGCAACAGAGCCTTGCAACCCCCACTAGAGCAGAGGGTTGAACACACAGCTGTTGCCAAGGGACCTGCTCAGGCCAGGGGTGGCCCTGGATCCAGTAGAGCCCTCCACACCAGAGCTGGGCATCAGACACCTGCAGCCAGGACCTGGGCTCTGCACCAGCGCCAGTGTTTTTGCACGGATCTGGAATTTTCTAGATTTCCCCTGTGATTAAAAGGTGTGGCTGCTGAAGAAATCCGTTTCCAGAGTTTCCAAATTCCTTACTGCTGTTGTTATTTGTCTGCAACAGGAGTATCCGTGAGGCCAGGGCACGGGGAGGGTGTGCTGTGGCTCAGCGCTGCTCTGGGACCACCAAATCCCCGTGACTAGCAGGACTAACTCCACAAGGTCTCTGCACCTGGAGAGGAAACTTGAGGAGTAATCCATATATGCTAGATTTAAATACCTGGTAAAAAGCCTTCAAACCCACACATATCCTTCCCTAAAAAAATGTTTTCAAGGAAAACCTGTGATTTTATAGCATACTTTTTTTAGTAGTACAGCCATAATGGGTGTTTTTACTGAAACAATGGGAAAAGTAACATAGATTTATAAATTCATTAAAATGCCATAAGAAAGAGCAGTGTCTAAGTAGAACCGTTGACTGCCATGGCTTTTGGATGAGACCCAGAAGAATGCTGGAGTAAGTGGTGAAGCATTTTATTTTCTAACCTTTCAGTGGCTACTGCAAACAATGGAAAATACAAGTACATACTTAGAATAACTCTATCCTTTGCAAAATGAGATCACACCTAAAAATACTTCCTTTTGTTGCTGTATAACTTCAGTTTAGGATAATAGCTATTACATGCATATAGTGAAGAGGAAAAAATATCTCCTCAAATGCTGGGTAAAAATTTTATATTGCAAAGTAGAGTTTCTACTACAGAAGAAACTTTAAAACCTGTAGTGATTCAAGACAATTTATGAAATACTAGAATGAAAAATCTAGTTATCCATGGACAACATGAAATAAGGTAATAAAAATGTCAAGGGGTTGAGCTACTAAATTATTGCTAGAAGCCGGGAAAAGCTATATGATGATGATAATTCCTAGTATCAAAATTGTATCAAGTTCTAAGAAACAACTCAAAAATGTATCTGAATTTTAGTTTTTCAGTTTGAAACAATTAGGGCTAGCCCACACAGCTTGAACTTCCTGGGATATACATGTGCTATTAATTTTTAACTTTGCTGTAGGATCCAAGCCTGAATCACCAGGCCCTGTCACTTTCTAGTGCAAAGGTGTTTTTTGTCTGCTTGTACCAGCAACTTTTCCAGTGCCCTTTCTTCTGAATTTGCAAAGATATTTTTCCTGACTTTTTAAAACTATCTCCCTGAATTTCCTCAGCAACTTCCAATGCAGCTGACTTTCACAGCTGTGTTGCCATGCTACAGATTTCATCGTGTGACCAGAGAAGAGTGTTGGTTAAACAAAAATCTCCACTTAAGACTGATTTTCTACAATGCTTCATCAGTTCCCTGCTATGTAGCATGAATCTAACAGCAAACAATAGTTCAGTAACCTGAAGAAGAGTAAATTAACATTTATAGAATAGCTCAGCACTGACCTTCCTAAGAGAAGAGAAGCATTTTCTTAAAAGTTTCTTCAACTCCATTACATATAGAATTGGCTTGATTTTATTTCCAAAACACCTATTGACATTGATTCCAAAGTATTCAATCAAAACAAGAACAGAGAAGAGTAAATGCAAAGTTGCTTCAGGAACAGAAATATATCCATTGCTTTAGAGAGTGCAGAGATGGCCCTGTTCCCTTCTCTGCCAGTGGGAATTTTACCACTGACTCCAGAGAAAGCTCAGCCAAGCTAGTGATTTTCTAACACTTGAAGACAATTATTTTTATTTTAAAGCACAGGAATAGCCTCCTGCTCTTGTGCAGTTCTTAGCCTGAGGCTGCAGCCCTGCCAGCACTGTTAATGTCATTGTTTGTGAAGTGTATTCCCAGTCTCCATACACCCACGCAGGGCTCCCAGCTCCCGGCTGTGATGTCCCCCTCGACACATTGTTCCAGCTCCCCCTGCTTCCTCACCTCCCGCCCCGTCCCCCCACCATTGTTATCCCTTTACACCCACCCTGCATTGTTCTCACACCCGTCTGCCATCCCCACCTGGGAGGGACCCTTCCTCTCTCCCACTCCTTGCAGCAGCTCAGGCTCCTTTCTTACCTACTTCCATATATTCCACTGACTACTGGCAGCAGAGCATTTTCCCTTTCTGAAAGCAAATTACATAAAGTATCATTATTACAGCCCACAGCTTCTGCAAGCTTTGGGCACTTGGCTTTGAGAAGCCCAGTCCAAAGCCTCTTAAAGAATGAAAATATTTTTATTTCATTGCTACAGACTCTAGGTCAGGCCCAGAACTAGGATTTATAGAAAGTGTTATTGCATTTTCAGATATATTTTCAGGATATAAAAGGCTAGAGCTGATACTTGTTTTCACTATGGAACCAAAATATGTAATGAGACACACATATATGTACAGAAATGGCTAATATTATTTACACAGGCTCCATTATTTTGGCCACCTTGCTTTTTACTGCTCTCTAGTTTGTACATCCATCAGATCCCTTTGAACTAGTATCTGCACTTTGCTAGATTTTTCATACAGATATATAGGGAAATTGAACCCAAATTTTTATGTACTTACTATTTTTTCCCTTACTTTTTTTCACAATGCTTCACTTTCTCTGTTACACTGCTTTCCAAATGCTACTCCTTCCTTCCACAAAAGCATGTTTACTGTATAGACTATGATGCATTACCTGTTTTCCATGCTAAAGGTTTCTTTGCTAACCCTTGGAAAGAAAAGCAGCTATATATGCTTAGAGTAGATCAACTATAGAAACAAAAATGAATACCTCACTTTATTAATAAACTAAAGTATTTTGCATATTCAAACACAAAAAACTTGTAAAGTCTTACCATGGCTCATGCGATGAAAGCAGTAGTATGCAAAGTCCACTCCCAGAAGTGTCAAATACCATGTCCATGGTGAGTCCCAGGGCAGTTCAAAGAGTCTGTAGTTATTCCATACGTATATGTAACTAATTAACTCAATACTTCTGAATAAAATACTGAAATAGAGATCCAAAAATTTTTATCAGTTATTCTGTCAGTTTTCATTTCAGAACATTTTATATATTTACAATTTACCAGCTGGAAATCTTTTTACAACACATAAAACCAGTCTCCAAGCTCTTCAACCTCTGTCAAGTAACATTACTATTGACTTCAGCAGAACCTTTGCTTAGTCTGCAAGGTTTCAAAAACCAATTCTAACCTACTCATCACCTATGTTATGGCATTAGGTACACTCAAAGGCTGAAGCACTCCTGTGCTCTGCAGGTGTTATGATGTTCCTGTTTTCCCAAAACTGGAAGAAACCCATATAGGGACAGGATAGCTGTTCCTGGCCTAACACACACTCAGCACTGAGACCAGGAGAAGAGGAGAGAATGCAGTGCTGGAATGGGCAGGCCAAACCTAGTAGTAACTCTCCACAGCTGCTCAGATTACTACAAATTTGGCTTGCCATGGTCACGCCCTCCTCTCGGAACCCTACTACCTGATTTCACCAATTGGAGCCCTGAGCTACCTCCAAAAAAATTACTTTGATTTTGCTGGGTGAGATTTTGGGTGAATCAGGAAGCATTAAACCCAGGTTTGAATGGTGAGAGGCTGTAGGCACTGGGATGGCCCAGGTGACAATTGGTTTTGGTAGCTATGAAATGGTGACTCAGATGCTGATGGATATATATTTAAACTGGCAATTTTCTAGAAGAAACCAGTCCATAGCAGGATTTGTAGCAGATTCCTCACATCGTCTCCTACTACTCTCCTTTGTTGTGTTGCTGAAAATGTAGTGAAACAGTGGTGAACTGAATTAAATTGGCCTCTGAAAATCAGCAAACAGAAAAAAAGAGAAGTGGGGGAAAGATAGAAAAGTCACAAATATCCCTTTTTTATATATCAATGGGTGACATTCACCTCAGTTTAGGGCCTAAGAGTAAGAAATGAGATAATCACACACACAAAATGTGTTTCTCAGATGTTATGCTGCTGCTGTTCTGTGGTGGGGAGGTAGAAGAATTATCAGCCACACTTTTGTACAACATTGTGCAAGATTTTAAAAGTGTATAAAACATATTCATAGTTGAAGAACGACTCTGGGATACAAATCCAGGGAGCTTCCAAAGAACACTGCAGATAGCACACCTCTAGACACTACTTAAATAGAAGTGGCAACAAACTGCACGTAAGTGTTTCAGCCATGCAAAATCTCATCCAAAAGACAGACCAACTTCTCTATTTCACTTTAGTCTCATCTAGAACTTCACCTTACATTGAAATCAGCTGAGAGATTCCCTGTGCATCTCTGTCACATCTGCTCATTCTTGCCTCAGTACCATTTCTGAGGTATTTCTTTCAATACCCTCCCTTTTTTGCCTAGTTTTTTTTTCAGCTAGATTATTATTTATATAGTTTGATATAGTTTGATATTTTTGACAGCGTGGCCAGAAAAATACTAGAATCTGCAAAACTAAAAAAAGGATATATATTCCTTCCCCTTTAAAGACTTTTTTCACACATCTGGAAAACATCCCTGAAAACAGTCTGGCCATGCCCTGTCCTTTTGGGCAGCTGCACTGAAACAGAAGGGAAGCTCAGTAAACATGGTTGTTTGAGCTTACAAGCCATCCCCTGTGCTATAGCTGAACTCCATCTTTTTGCTTTAATCTCTTTACTCAGAGATTTTATACTCCTGGCATTTGCACCTCTTCCCATAAGTATTTTGAATAAAGCTAGAAGAAAACACCATGAGTTTCTGTGGTGCTAGTTTCACTAGTAATGAAGAAAAAAGTCATCTGAAAATCCCAACCTCCCAATAAGAGCCTGCAAGCATTGTAGTATCACATCCACCATTTTATCCTAAGAGCTGAAGCACTGCAAGTAGTTGTTGCTCAGAAGAAAAGAACTAATATTTTTTCCACAGCCAGGTGCACATCCTACCTACACCTCATACCCAGCTTTACTACAATCATACAAATTTTTCTCTTGAATGAAACCAAGACACAACAAACCCCATGAAATTTCATTTCATTTTAGCAGCTTGACCATGAAGAATTTCTCTTGACTAGCAAGAACAGGTGTATCTACCACTTCAAAAACAACTTGGCTGTGTCCAGAAGGTTGACCATACACACCTGGAACATGTTTAATTTTCATAAGAGCTGTGTTCTATAAATATTTTTAAAGAAGATTATATGTGTCCAAGCAGATTTTTGCTATTCACCTCATGAGGAATTTGTAAAGTTCAGTATAAATTCTCAATCCATTTCACAACAGGTCAGAAGGGAGCTGATATTATTCAAACACAAAGAAATGGGCATTTCTTAACATCTTTTCAATGACCAGGAAATTTAAAACACCTCTTGCAACATACAGTATCAGTTATTATTAGGTACTGTTTTCTTACTTTATTCTTCTGCTTTTATTAACATATAATGCTTTTGCAGTACATCCAAAGATATGTGACCTGGAACATTTCCTTCATTTTTGATCAGTTTTCAGTATTTCACCCTTGAGTTCTTTTTTTTTTTTTTTCCATAGGCTGAGGCGAAGGTGTAAACCTTGAGCTAACCCTGCAACACATTTTTCATATATGCAATTTGCTCTACATTCTTTTCTTCATGCTTGAATCACAACTCTACAGCACATAACGTTACCTGATTACTGTAATTAATTTAGAGTAATCCATCATATTACTAGGCAGTGCTGGAGAAAGAAGAGTTGCTTAAATAAGTATTTTTTTTTAAATTTACAGTGTGATAGGAAAGACCAGAGCTTGCATTCAATTACAATTCCTAAAGTTCACTTGGAGTTTTAAAGGTTTATATTCCCCCTTTTTTCCCCCCTCAAGTTCCTTTTTCACTTCTTGAATATACAAGGAGAACTTAAGAAAACTTTATTTCCTCATTTAAATGTTGTAATCATAAATGTGATAGAAGTGGATAGGTAAGGCTTTTGTCATCTAGTCCAATCCTCTGCATAAAGAACAATAAATCCTAAAACAGACAGACTGTATAGAAAACTTTATTATATACATTACATAGATTTATCTTTTTGGATTTTGAACATCGCTGCTGAAAAATTTCTTACGATGTGCAAAGCACACTTAGGCAACTGTTATGACCTTGAGAGTTCTTGTCTCCTTGTTTCTAAAGATCATACGTACTTTAATTAATGGTAATAATATTTGTTTTTAATAAACCATTTCCCCCTTCCACTGGGTCAGATTATCACTTCCTCTAATTAAAAAAGTCCAAGAAGGAAATTCTGGGAGATGAACTCTCCATGTGGAAATGAAGATCTACTTATTCTAGATCCCTATGGGATAATGAAGGGGGGAAAAGTGGAAGAAATTCAATTGCAAGAAAAGGCAACTGCCCATTTCAAATAATACAAGGTCCTGTTTTGCTTCCTCCAGCCATAGAGCCTGAAACCACATCTTTAGGAAACTCCTTCCATGGTGCCCAGGACAGTCACCAAAAATGAAAAGGTCAGAGACAGGAACTGTTGTCTCTTTTCCGAGCATGGAGGAAGATCTGTGTACCAAAAGTGAATAGTCCAAGGAAACTGCCTCAGCTCTCACCACTATTGCAGTCACCACCTCACATCACACTGGGAACTGACCTGGTGCCCCTGAGCTAAAAACACAACCCTACAGCTGGACCTACAAAAGCTGTGCTCTCAAGGGCTGTAACAGACTTGCATCCTTGGAGGTCAGGCACAGAGGGAAGCATGTTAAGACGCCCTGGTCACAAGGTTATATTATCATTAAAAATAGTGAGATCTTACTACTACAGTTTCCCTGGGTTAAATAAATTCTGTTTTCCTAGCCTGATTCAAACTATATAAATGTAAAGTTTCAAAATGCTGAACAAAGGCAGTTTCTAATAATTCGAAGTTATTCAAACCATTTATGTAACAGCAGGACACATGAATAATTAAATTCTCTGTAAGATTTTATTTCAGAATGGAAATCATAAGGATTTCCATTTCCAAGGAGACTCATAGAGGTTTCTTTTCCAGATAAAACACTGGCTCCAGCCACAATTGAAATAAACATTTTGATAACGTGATTTCAGTAAAGAGAAGAAGGGGGAAGGAGGTAGACGAGCCTTGAGAAAAGATTCATTTGTAAAGCAAAGCAAATCTGCTGCAACTGAAATCCCCTTTTATTTCCTGTACAGGTGCCAGGTCTTGAACAGACACCCAATTTATTACCTTGTCAGCTGACTTATTAGGGTTGACACAAATCGAGCTGAAATATGCCTGACACACTGCAGTCAAGGCTTTTTTCACACTTTAGCACAAAGCCAAACTTTCCACAAGGTGGAAGGAAAGGGAGAGGGAGTTGTGGGAGTTCTATTCCCTGTTTTCTATCATCAAGATGAATATGATCTCCTCTCCCATTCTTAATATGCAAAACCCAAGGCTAAAGAATAATTCACCAAAATGATACAGCTGGGAAATTATTATCAGGCTCTGGAAAATCCTTGATTACAGGAAATAGCACCTACATTTTGAGAAAATGCTCCCACCAGACACAAAGGCTGAATCAAAGACTCTCCTCTTCCTCAGTATGGCTTTCTTCTCCAGCATTTTAGCCTAAACAATACAAACCTCCAGTTTTCCTCAAGGGCAAAGGAAAATATCAAATTCAAATTGAAGTAAAAGGGAGGTGACCCAGGTATTTGTACTAGTTGCATTTTACACATTATTGCACAATATTTTGCCTGACAGAGTTGCCCTTTTATTCACCAAACCTATTCATGTTGCACTTCATTTTTTATTCCCTAATTTATGACATTAATATTAATTTACAGTAGTGGGTGGCATGAAATGTGAAGCAAGAGGTGTCTGAAGAAAAATAGCAACAGTGCTACACTTTTTTATGAAGTTCTAGTCTTGCTACATAATTCAAGTCACTTGTTTATCTTTGCTCACAAATAACTAATTTTACAGTTGTATCAGTTAAAAATACAACAGAGATATTTTCATGAGATGTTCC